GAGTGCCATCAATAGAAAACCTGCAATCGGGCTTTCAATATACAGTTGCTTTCTATATGTCGTCTATAGACAATCTATCATTCAATAATATTTTGTGCTAGATATACTATATATCTGGCACAATATATAATTAAATATCTGATGATAGATTGTCTATAGACAGCATGTAGAAAGCAAACTATACATTGAAAGCCCAATTGCAGGTTTTTCTATTGATAGCATTCATATGTATTATAATTTTTTATTCTTATTTTGATCTGTATTTTAAATTTAGTTTTTTTTGAAATGACATATTTCTCAAGCATTATTTTGCAATAATACAATAATCTTTTTAATTCTTATTATAATAAATCTGCATGTAATATATTTATATAGATTTATTACAATAGATATATAAATATAATATTTGTAAATTATTATATAAATACAATGTAATTATTTAATACAGTATTAAATAAATTTATTTTATTTAAAATTTCAATTTTATAAAAATGTCTAGTTTTTTTTTAAACAAAACCATTTTTGAAGAAACTCATAAAAAAAATATTCAATTGCAAACAGATCTTTCAAATTTGCAATTTCAATATTTAGATCAAGAAAATAATAATTTATCTTTATTAGATAATTTTGAAATTCTTGAAAATTTAGAAAATAATTTTTTAAATAATAAAATTTGGACTGAAGAAGAACTTTCTAAATTTAAAATATTATATTATAAAACAAAAGATATTTTAGAAAACAAAATAATGATCAAAAATTAGAAGAAGAAAGTGAATTATTACAAAATAATAAATTTAAAAATTTTTTTGATAAAGGATGTTGTGAAAAAAATTGTTTACAAACTCAGTGGATTATTCAACAATTTTTATGAGACATTTAAATTTTAAAAATCTTTCTAAATATTTTCAAGATATGTTTTTATTAGGTATTATTTCTGCTACTAAACGATCTAAAATAATTCGAAATTCAAAAAAATCTTAACTTTCTCCAGAATATATTTTTGAAGGAAAATCAATTTGTTTAAATGCTTTTAAAATAATTTATGGACTTGGAGATAAAAGATGGAAAAATTTACGAGAATATTTTGTAGAACATGATATTAATTTATGACAAAATACTAAAATAGAAAAACTAAATAATTGAGTAATATCATTTGAAATAGTAATAAATGTTATTACTTTTATAACAAATTATACAAAACAACATAGTTTACCATCTCCAGGTATTATAATAATTTATTTATTTATTTATTATTTATTTATTTATTTATTATTTATTTTTTATTTATTTATTTATTATTTATTAATATAATTTTAATAGGACAAAGTTTTCGAGATAATACTAGTATAATTATATATTTACCAGCAGATATTACTTATTCATCTTTATATATACAATATATAGAAGCAACTGAAAATAATAATCAGCATCAAATTAGCTTAACAACATTTGATAGAATTTGGAAAAAATTTTTACCTCATATTAAAAAATTAACACCACGAAGTGATTTATGTTTAAAATGTAAAGATATGTGATTTAATGCTAATTATTAGACAGTTGAAGAAAAAGAAACTAAAGTATTAGAATGGCATAAACATATTAAATGGGCACATAAAGAAAAAGAAAATTATAAGTAAATAATTTTATTTATTTTTTTTATATTAAATATTATTAATTTTCTATTTAAATTATTTAGATATTATATTAAAATAGCATATGAAAATATTTAAAATTTTGGAATTAATAATTTAATATGTTCTGGAAAACCTAATTCTTTAGATATTACTATTCATCTTTCTTGGGATTATGCACAACAAATTTAATTACCATATTCATCTCAACAAGAAGTAAGTTTAATATTATAAATTTATAATTATTTTTATTATTATATTAAATTATATATTTATTTAAAATTAGGGTGAACTTTATTTTAAATCTTTATATAAAGTTTATTTATTTGGAATATGTAATAATGCATTTCCACGTCAAGTAAATATAAAATTTTATAATTAAACTATAATATTAAAATTTAATTAATATAAATTATAAATATAATTTATTAGGTAAATTATCTTATTAAAGAAAGTGAATTAGTTGGTAAAAGTGCAGATACTGTTATTTCTTTATTACATAATTATTTTGAATTATATGGTTTAGGAGAAAAAAACTTGTAATTCATGCGGATAATTGTTCTAGACAAAACAAAAATAATACAATGATAGCATATTTAGCTTGAAGAGTTTTAACAAGATTGCATGATAGTATAACTTATTGTTTTATAGTTGCAGAACATACTAAATTTAGTTCAGATAGATTTTTTGGTCTTATAAAATTACTTTTACAAAAATCTGAAGTAGATAATTTAGAAGATTTAGTTAAAGTAGTTCAAAATTCAACTTCTGGTGGATATAATATTGTACAAACAATTTTTGATAATAATAGAAATCAAATAGTATATTTTTATGAATAGACAGATTGGCTAAAACAAAAATTTACAACAATTAAATATTTTAAAATAACATTATTTTGAATTTAATAGTTTATATCAAGGACAAGTTAAAATTAGTATATCATCTTATAGAGAAAAAACTACAATTCATATTGAAAAAACTAAACAACAAAATAATTTTAATCAATTAATCGAAAAAAAATTACCAGGTCTTAGTGTTGAATGATAATGGTATTTATATGAACAAATAAGAACTCATATACAAAATCTAAGTAAAAAAGATGATCTTTGTCCAAAACCTATTGTAACTAAAATAAAATCAAAATAAATATATAATTTTTTCATATTATAAACAAACTTAAAAATTAATAAAAAAATTTAAACTTATTAAATTTTAATTAATATAAAAATTTCTTAATACATTTAAATTTGTAATAATATAAAAATTTTAATTTAAAAAATAGGAAAAATTTATACATAGCCACGGCTACATATAGCCTATATGTTATACAATATAATTTATGTAATATACATATAAATTTATATAAAATATACTATATAAATATAATACATATATTTAATAAGATACTAATTATAAGCAATATATAAGAATTATAATAGCATATACAGCTTATAAACAACTTTTTAAAAACAAGCTATTTTTCCTATAACCTTCTAGTGCAAACATGTATATTCGCATTTTCCCTTACCCTAACTATTTAAAAAGGGATACATATTGGATTTAAGCCTATATAAATAACACAATCAAAATTTAACTTTCGTGCATCTATCGAATTTGTATTACTATACAATCATATTACTTTACTGGGTACTCTAATGCAATTTATTTGTGGATAGTAGTGATGATGCAAGTGAATTGTCCCAATGATAATTATCACATGTCGTAACTTGCCACTATAGCAAGTAATATAGTAAGTTACGGTTATAATACCATAACTTACTATATTACTTGCTATAGTTACGGCAAGTTATAGCATGTGACAATTATCATTGGGATAATTCACCTGTATCTCTAGTTAATAGTAACCACCTATTTTTTGATAGCCATTTATCCTACAGACCATTTATTTGATTCGCATAAGATCGGAGCTAACACTTTCATAATGTTGAGTAAATAGCCTATAAGAAAGTTTTTGTTAAGAAATAAGACGTAAATTAGTTTATCTAATTGTTACTAAAACTAAAATAAATATCTCTTGTACCTTAATATAATCTTGACAACTGTTTCACTAGTATGATCAGAGACATAATTTATACCACTTTATAGTATTGTTTTTTTTGAATACCACTACTTAGAGGTATGAATATAATACCATTACTTGTTGTAATTATAATAAGTTATGGCAAAAAATGCCGTATCTCATTATAATTACAACAAGTAATGGTATTGCGTCAAAATTTGATATTCTAACTACATACCTGAAAGCATATCTGACTAAACTTTATAGTACTTGAAATTAGATTTAGCGTGATTAACAATAATTTTGATTAGTTTGAATTTCGAATAAATGATAGCTCCTGACACAATACTTAGTTGTTTCAATTAATTATAACGGAGGTAAACCCCACAAAAATCAAATAGCAATTTAACAAAACTAGATTAAACCTGCAAGCTATATATAACTAAAAGCAAACTAATCAAGCGTTGAGTAATCTTAATAATAATCATACTTGAAAACATGTTAAAATGAATATTAGATTTGATTTTTTTTGTGCCATTTTTCACAACCTGCCTTATTATGCCTAGCTTTATAACACTGCTGACATTCCATCGGTTTTCTAGTTGAAACTTTAGCTGAAACTTTCTTTTTAATTTCCTGAGATCCTTTAAATCTAGTTTTACGATATGCACCTTTTTTAGAACGAATAACTGGATTTTGAATCAAGGATGGATCTATATTCTCAATATCATTATCTGTATATGATTCGTCAGTTGAATCAGAACTGTTTTGCATATTCAAATCAGAACTATTCAATTCAGCAGGTGACTTTTTTTTGTTATATTTCTGATTCAATTCTTGATGATTTGTATGATTTGGACTGTGCTTTTTTATAAATTCTTTCATAAAAGTATTTAATTCTTGAATAGCTGTGGAACCAGCATCTAATCCTAATTGAATAGCTTTTTTGAAAAGATTATTAGCCGTAACATATTCTTTTTTCTGATCCAAAGATCTATAAATAGATTCATAAGGAATCTTGTAAGTTGTTGTGAAATAAATTCTACTACTATTATTAACTTCAGACTGTTCTTGCTCATTAACTCTATCAGTAAATAGCTGTTGCAAAAGAATCGAATCATTTTCTAATTGTTTTTCATCTTTATACCAACACTTTGGTATAAACATTATATGAAATTGTATGTATGCTGAATGTCCTAAAAGATGAAAAAAGTGCTGACACATAAAATCACGTTGAACTAACCCAAGACATGTACAAAGATAAGATCAATTATCAAACAGAACAACATAGTTCTTATATGTACACCTATGACGAACAAGCTCCCAAATTTCAATAATATTTTTAAACTGTTTAATTGGTATAAGCTCTTTTACAAGTATTAGTAGAATGTCAATAGCCTCTTCTACAAATTCAGCATCATATAATTCAACATTATGTTCAATTTCATAAATTCGATGCTTATCAACGGGTTGTATAGTATACCAAATAGCCTGGGCCATTTCTTGGCGTTGTATTGAAAGAGCAGCGGGTGTTAAATACTCAGTTATCTATTTGTCAACTAAAGGAGAAAAGTCTTGACTTGCATGTATAAGTGTTGAGCCGGTTGTTGAATGAAACCAATTTCGATATTGAATAAAAGTAGATGCATCATTAAATGATTGTCAATTTTTTTAGTAAGTTCTATAATTGATGTATGACTATTGATGGTATTTTTTATTATTCTATTTGCCCTTTTATTCTTTGAGTAGACTGCATTCCGGCTGTAAAAACTCGAGATGTATAAGAAAGTGCCCATCGTTGTTGATTACCTTTAAGCGCTCTATTTAAATATAAAGCTGAATCAGATATTGTTCTATAAGTGAATTCCAGAGATGTTTAAAATTAGCTTGAGATGGCGTATTTCTCATTTGATACCAAGCCTTAGAAAAGTCTTTGTACTTAGTTCCTAACTTTGATTTTAAGTTCTTTATAAGATTCTGCCCGATATGATAAATACAATATATATGATAGGTGTTTGGTATTGTATTTGCAATAGCAGCATTGAGAGCGAGATCATTATCTGTAATTATAACTAGAGGATAAGTCTTCACGGCCTGAATAAATGAAGAAAATACCCACTCAAAACTCTCAGAAGTTTCATCGTTCATTAACGTTTGTCCAACAATTCGAGTTCGATTGTTATTGTCAACAATTACTAAAAGTCCAAGTGCCATTTTAAACTGATTCGTAGAGTACGTATTATCATATTGAACAATATTCTGATATTTAATATAAAGTTCATATTGATCGGGTGTCATCCAAAATAGAGTTATCAAAGAATTTGTTGTTACATCAACATGCCAGTTTACGATCCATTTTATATTCCCAGCTTTTTTTTCGAGGAGATAATTTATTAAAACAGAAGCTTCATTTTCGACTTGTTGCTCTCTTTTAAACCTCTGAATGGTGTTTGCCAAATCTTGAGGTAAAAAAAATACATCCTCATACTTTGCTATAAGAAGTTGTCGTTGTGTATACGTGCTAATATTCCCTTTAGTTGTCCAAAATTCAATGTTCTCTAACATTGGTTCAGTTAATGTTCGGTGAGTTACAGCAAATTTATTGGCGAGAGAGTTTCTGGGATGATCGTTATGTTCCAAGGCAACTGATACGATACTAAGTATACCAGTCTTTTTGGAAAAAGTAATATTCACTGACCATGGACAGCCACTACGTTTAGACCGTGTATTACGTTGTATTTCTGCAATCGCCTTCTTTTTACTTTTATGTTGG